TTTTTCATTGCAACATAACTTCAAATCAGGGAATCTTGATCTTCTTGTTGGAGCCTGTCATTAAGTAAATGAAGGGCAGAGTGGTTCAATACAAGGCAGTTGATAAAACTGGTCATACTGGAACAACAAAGCACTTTGCTCTCTCCTAAAACACAAACAAAGTTTTTGAGGGAGTTTTGTTGAGTTCATATGTTTGCTGCAGCTGAATATTGTTGGTTGTTTGTTGGCAGAGTTTCACACATCCTATATTATACTCATTCTTTTTCATTTGACAGAAATCTGTCCTGATGATTTTGCATTTGAATGCAGTTGACAGTGCATTTTCACACTGTCAACTGAGAGCATTAATGGCAGGAAGTGAAAAAGAAACGAAAGTGAGACATGCAGCTTCACTTGAAAACAAAACCTTGCAATGATGACTCACCTATGAGCTCAGCTATAGCGCTGAAAGGCCAGGTGTGGCTGGTGGAGTTGGTGTGAAGAAACTTTGGACAAAGCTGCAAGTGGAGAAATTTATTTCCAACATCAATCTGTGTGTTCTTAAGCTTAATCTAATATTATACTGTAAAATATGATAATATGTTCAATATAAATGTGTTGATGATTGATGACGATAAAATGCACCATCGTTTGGAGGCCAAATGAAGAAACTGTAGGAAATGCAGTCATAAGACCTCTGTGCATTTTAGTGGTGCAACCCAGAAATACACACCTCCCACTAAAGGTATTTATTACCCTTCTGTAGTTTCACTCAGTGGAGGAGATATCCTGTCCATTTGTTTACATGTTCTGTGGACGACCCCCCTGTGAGACTCCAGATGTGAGATCCCAATCAGAGATACTAAAAGATACCATAAAGTTGTGGTTTCTTGAGGCCATAAAACTAAAGTCTCTTAAACCACCATCGTAAACCTTAAAGTTGCCCTTTTAGATTAACACTTTGGTCAACTCTTTGGCCTGTCCTCCACATACATGTCTGCTCATGCGATTATACATACACAAATGTAAATTTTCCATTACACCACCGCGAGCCCCTCCGTTATGTGAGGTTTAAAGGATCATTTAAATGAGTCTTTAAATACACCTGCCTAACAGTTCACACTGGTCTCAGATTATTTACGAGAGTTCCAGAAGTTTTCTAACTGTTAAAAGTCACCAGCATACACACTGAGACTCAGACCTGCTATTAACATCTGTCCTGTGTGACTCCTTGTTTAACAATCAATGCACACTATAAAAACTGTGGCGCTGCTAATTCAGGATCTGGATCTTAACAGTTATGCGTCAAACTAGTAGATGATGAACCAGTACCCATCATTATTTTAATTTTCATCAATAGCAATAATGATCATAATTTATCTGAATTATCATCACAATTGATTCTCAGCTCTTACAAATGTCAAATAGAAGCGACTCCATCCTAAAGATGAGAAGACAGAATTGGTTTCATGTAGATAGAAAATGTTATTTCTAATAAATTAAATTTAAGACCTACGTCAAGTGGGATGAATAAACAATTCCCCTCACGTCCTTGATAAATGAAGACATGAAATGAAGACAGAAAAAGCCTTTTTTAACAGAATGGCCCTCGAGATGTCTGGAGGCAGTAAGTGTTATTCTAACTGTGTCCTGTAAACACAGACCCAGCCTCAGGTAGTGTTGACATGCGCTATTCAACCTGCGTACATCCGACACACGTGACCACACGGAGCAGGTTAGTGTCATTTCTCAGTTTGTAAGAGTTAACATCACTGGACAACCCTGGGAAGAGGAAGAAATCTCGCTCACCGTACTAAGCGGGACGCCTCGGTCCGTCTGCACCGCCATGTTTTCATATACTCACTCGGTGGCGGAAGCAGGAAGTGGAGTGACCACCGCGCGTCAGCATCACGACGTAGCGACGCTGTTTTATTTTGAAGGAATTGTCTTCTGTGACCATGAACTGAGGTTATTCTTCTTTTCTCATTCGTCATACATGGATATATAAAGTGTTTACTGTCATTTGATTGATTCATTCTGATTTAGTTTTCATTGAGTTTGCATTGACAATTCTGTTTGTTTTGCACATTGACAGATAAAGTGACAAATATATACAGATATAGAAAAAAGTCAACACCTATTTAGGTTGACTAAGATCTATTGTTTGGTCATTACGTTGTTTAGGTGGTTACTCATTATTATAATGAAAAAAATCCACTCAATAAATCTATAATTAACTGGTTGGAAAGGAGTTCAGACGATACCTTTAATTTGACACTCAGCAGAAAACACAGTCATCATAATTTTACTTTACTTTAAGCTATTTCCTTTTTCTCATTTGTATATTTTATTTATAGTTGTATATCATTATTTTTGTACTCTGATGTTGTCGTTATTTAAGAATTTAAATATATAAAGATGTATTATGGGGGCTGTGTTGCAGCATGAAGCCTCTTCAATATTCACATATTCTCTGATTCATCAATGTTTTTTAAATAAAAACCAATGTGGGCAAAACTTTAACTAAAACTTTTTAAATTCACTCGGTCAATTTACAACTTCCTGTCTTCACCTGCTCAACTGTTTCCATATCGAAAGCTGCGTACCTCATGTATTAGCCATCACTGATTTTATAGTTATGCACTATCATATTAAATTAAATTTATCACATTATACACATAGAGCTCAATGTAAACTCCCCAGGGATCACTTACACTTGACAGAATTACATCTCTAAAAAGGTAAAATCACTGCAAGAAACTTTGTAGGCTACATTATTCAGTTTTCTATTGTGATAACCCACATGTTTAAACCTACACTTTGTTCTGCAGAACACTTTTATAATAGGCCTGTATTTCCCAACCTTACCTGATGTAAAGTCTCCTTGATAATATTTATGATAAATTACACACACACACACACACAAACACACAACTGCAGGAAAACGAGCAACAAAAAGCTGCAATCAGGGAATGCAGCATTTAAGCTAAATATTTACTTTAATGAACCTTCTTTCACTTAATTCAAAACTTAAAATGGTCCTTTAAACATCCAAAATAAATTACGTAAACATTCAGTACAGTGGAATATAAGACAACGGGCAGTTGTGAAAACCTTCATTCAACGACCACAAAGAAAGATTTGAATTCCCTTAAACACCAACAACAGCAAGCATGTACTGTATATTACTGAGGTACACCCAATGAAATGTAGGATATTGTAAGGAGTCTTCCTGGTGTACACAAAAAAAACATTCAGTAACTTACTCATAAAATCACTGGAAATCAGTGAGGTCCAATAATGAATTCAATAACAAAAAGAGAGAGAGTAGTTCTACAGCATGGTCCTGCAGACATACAATCTTCACATTCTCCGAGTCAGACAGATGCAGTGTGTATGCTTGTACTAAAGAGTATTGTTAACCAGACTTATGAGAACAGAAAGAAAATGAATACTTGATAAAATTCTTCACAGCGAATCTGCTATTTGGCTTCAAACAAAAACATAGAAGCGGAACAATAATTTGAGGTTTATGCAATTACTGTTGTTTTTTGTCTAAAATCATTTAGAGCAAAGAGAGTAGACACTGTGAAATAATCTTAATGTGTAAACATTTTGGATAGTGTAGAGATAATGTACATCAGTGAGAAATAAAAAGGAGCAGATCTAATTCACTTGTAATTAATACCATATTTTTCAGACTGACTGAATGAGCTACAACTATGTCCCTTGGTTTTTCCAATACAGATTTGGGGTGAACCTCAAAAGTATAATTGTGGAAATTAGACAAGTTAAAACATTTCCTTTTTTCTACTTCACACTACACGATCACTGTTGTGCCTATTTTAGATATTACACTCATATGGCTGCAGGTCTAAAAGCTTGGGGAGAGGACTTATTTGAAAGCTTCATGCTTAAGTTTTCAAACTCTCTGTGGAGTCCAGGAATTCTTTCTCAATGATGTGCTCCAGCTTCTTCAGGACCGTGCCTGATCTGGGTGGGTAGTCTGCTATTGGGAAGTGTTGCAAAAGGTGGCCATTAGGGGGAGGAACTTGGAAGGAACAGCAAAGGGTGCGAAGAAAAGGCAACAGCTGGGTGATGGAGCGCAGGGAGCACTGGGTGAGGAGGGGGAACTCCAAAAGGTCGGTGGAAGATTCCTCGCTCAGTCTGTTCAGTGCCTGGAACATAAAGTAAGGACATTAAAAACAAAAAAATCACTTTCAGTTAACGTTCATCACAACGGACACCAGAGTCTTAATTCATATGACAACTTCATTACCATGAAAAAAGATCCACCTTATCATAAGCAGACACTAAAGCTTTTTCCAGAGTTCATATCTTCAGTTCAAAATGTCTTATGCCAAAATGAATGGGTGTCCACATTGTTGACCTTTTAATAGATTGGATCCAAAAATTCCATCTTATCTTCTTGGAGACCAGGATGTAGCAGATCTAATCTGACATGATTGAACATTTGTTTTGTTTGTCGCTCCCTTCTGCCCTCTTTTTGCAAAATGTATCAAATATAAAGCTGGAAAACCTTTAACTAACACAACTGTGCGTCTGAATCTAAGCCTTCCAATCTCTTACCCCATATCTTTGCTGTATCCCTTCCAGTACTTTGACAACATGGGGTATGCAATCCTGCTCGGCCTCTATCAGCGCATTCTCTGGGCCATTGTAGCGGTTCACATCCACTTCAGGGACAAATGCCCAGCGATACCTGCATATGGAACAAACAGAAAATTTATGATAATAACTTCTGTAATGTCAAAATCTAGTTCAAAATGGTTTCAAGTTATTTCTAAATTGGTCTCTTACATCTGAAAGAGTGGTATCTGCTCTGGAGGAAAGGTCAGAGACGTGTCCAGAAACTTGCAGGCTGACAGGTACATGTCCAACTCTGCCTGAGAGAAGTTCACTGCTCCATTTCTTTCATGGGCTCCACGCACCACTTTTGCCAGTCTAGGAAGTAAAATAAGACCCAATTACTTTGAGAGAGAGCATTGAAGGGTGTCAGCGTAAAAAGGATTTTATGAGTCAAAGAATCGACTCACTTTGAGACGTCTTTATCAGGCTGCAGAGATTTCTCTAGACGTGCAAAAATGCGAATCTGAAGAACGACAAATAAAATAGACACTCGTACAGTATGACCCAGCATTTAAAGTCATGTTCTTACAGGATGTGATCTTACCAGTTCTGTGACCATGATTGGCCAAAGAGATATCAGGTGCTGGGATGAAATCCGCAGCAGCAGAACACGAAACATCAAGAACATCTGGGCTGAAACAGCTGGGCTGGGGTTGGTACGCAAAGCCTCCGTGAGACGCTCTGAGAGGATGATAATTATACTTTCATAAATTGTTGTCGAACAACATTTGAAACCCCTAAATTACCCACAGTAACAAATAAATATATTCTGGAGCAGTGCCACACCTTGGATGAGGGGCAGATAGAGATGATACTGGTCGAGTTCTCCACTGAACATGGCAAATGCCTGGCGCTTCAGCAGCATGGGTTTCTGATCTACATTACCAAACAGTTTCAAGGAGCCACTCTGCAAGCCTACGTTACAGAAAAAAATGGTTCATAACAGGAAATAATCCAAAACATCTCATGAAGCAGACATTTCAAGAAGTGACATTGTGGCTGGTTTTGAAAAATAATTTCTCTCAATGTACTGGTCTGAAGAGTTCATAACTTCTTTAAATCCTTAAGAAGCCTAAACTTTATATTTGTTTGTTTGAATTGATTATTCTATAAACTGTATCATGGTTTTGTCACACAAACACTTCCTACAGGCTGTACTCACTCATGAGGTCTTTAAACATTGTCTTCTCATGAGTCAGCAGATGATCAATAATGGATTTCCAACTAGAAAGAACACAGGGAAGTCAGGCGTGAGATTTTCAGTTCATTCAAGTGACTGAATTAAATGCACCTCAGAGACAAAAATTTCATTTTCCTAAAAAGGAAATACTGAACAAAGACGCACAGTGGAGCAAATGAACAATCTGAATGGTAGTGAGGAAAAACAATGTCTTGAATTTGGCAATGGTGGAAGAGAATATGTTTTATGTTTTGAATAATAAATATTAGGGGTTAAAAGACCTTATCTTGACACAAACCCAAATCATGAGCAGAAAAATAAGTGATGGCTTTGCCTAATGGAGCTGAAATAGACTCTCAGAAGTTGGTGTTGCAGTTGTTAACCTTTACAGCGAACTCCGGTTGGATCCTCCCGGTGGTGTCGTGTGTTACCTAGCAACAACTTCTACTAAAGATGTCTCTCAGTTCTTTTAGATTTGGAAGTCTTCGATGGGGAGCTATTAAAAATGTCTGAAAATAGTCTAAGACACTGCTCTATTGATTGAATTTGTTGTTGACTTGGATTACAAAGAGAGTACTTTAATAAATAATTTAATAATTAATAATAAAATGTAAAATGTACGCACACAATCATACATCCATCTTCCGCAAAGACCCATTGATTATTACAAAAAACTATTTATAACTATGGTGCTATTAGTGACAGGAAAGGAAAAACTCAACAGTTCCTGGATGTAGAGGAGTGGTGAATGACTGAAATGAATTCCAATCCAACAGACAAACCTACTGACCTGGGTGCACAGGAAGCATCCATGGTGAAGAAGAGGGGGTCCATGAACAGCTCAAAGACCTCTTTCTTCCAGGCCCTTTTGGTGTAGGCATACCCGCTCAGATTGCTCAGCAGCTGAGCACCTGCATCAAAGCTGGGAATGTTGTAGGCACTACAGGAGAGAAAGTTAGTTAGTGGAACTCTATAAAAGGCCCAGTATGTAGGAGTAAGTAGTGGCATCTAGCAGTGAGGTTAAAATAGGCAAAAATAAATAAATAAAATATCTCCACGCATGT